CTAAAAAAAAAAAACTTCAAAAATCCGATTTTTTTCCTCATTTCCCCCTTTCCCTTCCTTTTCCCCCCCATAAAAAAACTCTAAAATCCGATTTTTTCCTCATTTCCCCCTTTCCCTTCCTTTCCCCCCCAAAAAAAACCCTCAAAAATCCGATTTTTCCCCTCATTCCCGCTTATTCTTTCACTTCCCCACCCAAAAAAATCCAATTTTTCCCCCTAATTCTCCCCTTTTCTTCCCTTTCCCCCCCAAAAAATCACATTTCCCCCCTAATTCTCCCTTTTCCCTCCCAAAAAAACCCCACCCTAGTTTTTATTCCCCCCCGAGCGTTCCGAGCTGTTTTTAACCCGAATTCCCCTTTAGAAAAAAAAGGGAATTTCGCCTTTTCTCGGCGTTTTGTTGCCGCGATCCAATTCCGGCGCCATAAATTGGGATTTTACAGCCCCGGAGCCTTTTCGGGGACGTTTTTACGAGCAATTGATGCTCGCTCGTAAAATTTACGACCTCGCGGTTGGGGTTTTTTTTTTTTGGTGTTTCTCCCTTTTTTATGATTGTTGTGGTTCGCCCCGTTTGGCCTGTAAAAACGCGTGGAAAAAGGGGGAAAAAGGGAGAAAAAAGGGGGGAAAAAAAGGGGGAAAGGGGAAGGAAAGTGGGGAAGAAATGGGGAAAGGGGGAAAAAAAAGGGGGAGAAATTGGGGAAGAAATGGGAAAAGGGGGAAAAAAAAGGGGGGAGAAATTGGGGAAGAAATGGGGAAAAGGGGAAAAAGGAAAAAAAATAGAAAAAAGAGGGGGGAATAGACGGAGGAGCCCAGGGAGGGGGAGGGGCAGGGGTGGAAAATCCCCAATTTCAACAAAAATAACCCGAGGGAGGGAATTCCCTCCTTTATCTCTTTTTCCTCCGTTTTTTACCTTTTTCCTCCCTTTTTTATCCTTTTTTTCTCTTTTATCCAAGTTTTTCCTCCTTTTTATCTCCATTTTTCCTATTTTTATCTCTTTTTCCTCCCTTTATCTCCGTTTTTCCTCCCTTTTTTATCCCTTTTTTCTTTTTTTATCCAAGTTTTTCCTCCTTTTTATCTCCATTTTTTCTCTTTTTATCTCTTTTCCCTTCTTTTATCTCCGTTTTCCCTCTCTTTTATCTCACTTTTCTTTCTACTTTGTCCCCTCCTTCCTTCATTTCCAGCTCCTTTTTCCCTCCCTTTTTCCTCCCTTTTTAATCTCTTTAATTTTCCTTCTTTTTCATCACTTTTCCCCCATTTTTATGCTCTTTTCCCGTCTATTTTAATCTCCTTTTTTCTCTCTTTTTACCTCTTTTTCCCTTCTTTCCAATCCTCTTTTCCCTCTCCTTTCCCGCTCTTTCCTCTCCCTTTTTTCCCCATTTTCCCCTTTTTTCCCCCTTTTTTACCCCATTCCCCCCTTTTTCATCTCCTTTTCCTCCCTTTTCCTTCCCCTCTCATTTTTCCCCAAAACCTCTGGAATTCCGGGCCGATTCTTGACTCTTTAAATTTCCGCCTTCACCCGGAGTGGGGGACTAAAAACCTTTAAAATAGATTTTTAAAAAATCCAAAATAAATTATTTTAAAAATTAAAACAGCAAAAGCGTACAATAAATTATTCAAAATTTAAAAAAATATTTTTTAAAAATAGAAAAAAAATCAAATAAAAGCTGAAAAATGGAAACAAAACCGCGGAGAAGGGGCCGGGGGTCGCTCCCGAGCCGCGGAAATTCCCGGCGCAGATTCCCGCGGTTTTCCGCCCCCCTCCCTTCCCAAATCTGGGATTTTTATTTTTTCCGGGGGCGTCACGTGCAGGGGGCGGCGGCCGCTCCTCAAATCCCTGACCCCAGCCTGGGGGTTTCATTGGTTTTTTATTTTTTTGGGTTTTTTTGCGGGGCGGGGCGGCAGCGGCACCTAGCGCTGCTCGGCGGCACCGCGCCTTTCTGCTTTTGCGCTGATTTCTCCTTTTTTCTCCTTTTTTCTCCCCTTTTCCGAGTCATTTATCAATTTTTAAATTATTTCTGATTTTTGCCCTTCATTTCAGGGCGCGTTCCTTGCGCGCCTCTGCGCGGGGTTGCTTTAAAAAGCGAAATAATTTAAATTAAAATTCTGTATTTCCCCCCCCTTTTTTTTTTTCTTTTATTTTCAAAGGTTTTTCTTTTTTCCCATTTATTTCCTTTTTCTTCCCTTTCCCCTTTTCTTCCCATTTTTAAAAACTTTCCTTTTTCTTCTTTCTTTTCCTTTATTTTAATTTCTTTCCCCTTTCCCCTCCTTTTCCTTCCCTTTAATCCCTTTCCCCCATTTTATTTCTCTTTTTCTCCCCTTTTTCCTCATTTTTCCCCACTTTTCCTCCTTTTTTCCCCATTTTCCCTCTTTCCTGCCACTCCCTCTTCCCAACCTTTTCCTCCCTAAAAAAAAAAGCACCCAAAAATTCAAAAAAATTAAATAAAACCTCATTTTTTTTTTCCCCCCTGGCCATTCCGGGATATTTTTGGGCCGCTCCTCCTCCAGCGCTCCAAAGTTTACATTCCTCGGATTTTATTTTTAATTTTTATTTATTTATTTCTTCTCGCCTTTCCTCTGTTTTTTTATCCTTTTTTTTTTTCCCCTCTCTTTTTCCATAATTTATTGCTGCCGGATCTTCCCCAAAGGAGCGGGGGGGAGAAAATCCTGGAAAAATCGGAATTTCCGGGCCCCCCCGGGCCGCTTTTTTGGCTTTTTCCTCATTTTTGGGGGTTTTTTGGTGTTTTTTGTCAGTTTATTTTGCATAAATTCCATCCTGGAGAGAAGCAAAGGATGGGAGGGGGGAAAAAAAACCTCCTCGGGCTCCTTTTTATTAGGATTATTCCCCTTTTTTACGATTATTTTCCTTTGTTTTACGATTATTCCCCTTTTTTTAATGATCATTTCCCCTTCTTTTACGATTATTTCCCTTTTTAAACCATTATTCCCATTTTTACGATTATTTCCTTTAAAAACCAACAATTTCCTCTTTTTTTAATGATTATTTCCTCTTTTTGTGCCTTTTTTCCCTTGCTGTTTCCTTTAAGAGATAAATCTTATTTATTTATTTATTTATTTATTTATTTATTTATTTATTTATTTATTTTTCCCAGGGATTTCTCACTCCGTGACCCCCGGAATTCCCAGAAAATCTCCCAAAAAAGGCGGAAAAAATCAGATTTTTATCCATTATTTCTCCCCGCGTTTCATTTCCCGCTGTTAAATCCACAATTTCCGATCTCCTCTGGACAAAAAACGCTAAAAAATGCTTAAAAAAAAAGGTAAAAAATGCCATTTTGCCCCTCCCCCGTTCCCTGGAGAGGTTTTTTTTTGGGATGAAATCGAGGGAAAAGGGGTGGGGGAAATCTCCGGGCGCAAAATAAACCTTAAAAAAAAAATCATTAATTAATTAATAAACCCCACATCCATCACCGATAAATCAGCAATAAATCAGCAATAAATCATAAATAATAAAAGAGAAGCCGAACTTTTCACCCCCGGGGGAGGAAAAGAACCAAAAAACTGAAAAGGAGGGGAAATAAGGAATCCGGGACCTTTGGAAATCCACATTTCTATTTTTAATCACGGAAATTCCCGCGGCCCCGAACAATTACACGAGACTCACCCAAGGAGACAAAGCCAAAAATTTCCTTTTCCCCCCCTTTTTGTCCTTATTTTCCCCTCCTCTTTATTTTTTTCCCATTTTTTTTGGAAAAGACGAGACCGGGGAGGGGGGAGAGGCGATTTTTGGGGAGGAAACACGAAATAAAAAAAAGAATTTTCCAGCACGAGGTTCCCACTGAAGCTCAGGGCAACTTTCAAAAATAATATTCCGATTTTATTTCATTAAATACTCGACAGAAAGTCCGGTCCGGACCCGGGGGTTTTATACATGAGAGGGTGTAACACAAGATTTGTCTATTTTATTTATTTTTTAAACCTTTTTCTCCTCTTTTTTTTTTAATTTTTAATTTTTATTCTTCATTTTTCATTTCTCTCTCTACCTCTATGAACTCCATTCACTTTTTTTTTTTTTTTTGTTATTTTTCTCCTCTTTTTTTTTTTTAATTTTTAATTTTTAGTCTTCATTTTTCATTTCTCTCTCTACCTCTATGAACTCCATTCACTTTTTTTTTTTTTTTTAGCTTTTTTTTTTTTAGTTTTTTAATCATTTTTTCCCTTTATTTTTTCGAACATTACAGCGCTAAACATAAATATAAATACAGGTACCACGAACACAGAGAAAAATATTCACACAGAAACCGTCACAGTTTGTGGATGCGGTGATGAGCCCAGGCAGCTGCTTCAATACCGGCAGGAAAAAAGGCGATTTTGGGCCGAAAAAGCGCTTTTTTGGGGCATTTCCGCCAGGAAAATCTGATTTTTTCCGCTGAGGTTTGGAGGGGCACAAGCGGGGGGCGGGGTCGCCCCCAATTCCGCCCGCTTTTGCCCCAATTTTTGCCCGATTTTCCCGGGTTTTGGGGTGGGGGTGCGGCCGGGATGAGGGGGCGAGGGGGGAGATTTTGGGGGGGATTGGAGGAGCTCTCTCATTAATTAATTAATTAATTAATTCCTCATTCATGCACTCATTCATTCCTCCGCATTAATTAATTAAATTCTTCGCATTCATTCCTCCGCATTCACTCCTCCACTTTTTAATTTTTTTTTTTTCATTTTTCCGCTTTTCCGTTTTTTCCACTTTTTCGTTCCTCCTCTTTTTAATTCCCGAACTTTTTCGCCCCCTCACTTTTTTTTTTCCCCAATTTTAATTCCCCATTTTCGCTTCTCCACCTTCACTCCTCCGCTTCAATTTCACTTTTTCGCTCCTCCGCTTTTCCCTCCCACTTTTTCATTTTTCACCCCGCCTCGCCCTTTCATTTATTTATTTTGAATTTTCCCCATTTCCCCTCTTTTTCGTTTCTCTCCCTCACTCCACTCTCACCCTTTCATTTAATTTATTTGTAATTTTCCCCTTTTTTTCGTTTTCCACTCTCACCCCGCCTCGCCCTTTTATTTATTTATTTTTAATTTTCCCCCCTCTTTTTCATTTCTCTCCCTCACTCCACTCTCACCCCGCCTCGCCCTTTTATTCCATTTATTTATAATTTCCCCCCTCCCCGCCAACACTTTTTCAACATAATTTTTAATTTTTTTTTTTTTTTCTCCAGCGATAAACACCAGGAAGGACAAAAAGGGGCTGAAAAGGGATGAGAGGGGAGGGAAAAGGGGGGGATTGGCGACCAAAAAAAAAAAAAAAAATCCATCACTCCTTCTTCTCGTCCTCTGTCTCATCGCGCTTCTCCTCCTTGGCCAAGCTGTCGGCGGCCGCCGCTCCCCCTCCTCCTCCTCCTCCTCGCTGGGTTTTGGGGGGTTTGTGGGGGTTTAGGCCGGGTTTTGGTGGGTTTGGGGTGGGTTTTGTGGGGGTTAGGCCGGGTTTTGGGGGTCTAGGGGTGGGTTTTATGGGGGTTTAGGCCGGGTTTAGGCCCTGTTAGGATCAGATTTTGAGGGGTTTGGCTTTGATTCTGAGGAGCTCAGCGCGGATTTTTGGGGGGTTCGGCCCGGGTTTTGCAGGGGTTCGGCCCGGGTTTGGAGGGGTTTTGCCCGGATTCCGCAGGGTTTTAGGCCGGATTTTGAGGGGTTTGGGCAAGGTTTTGTGGGTGTTCAGGCCAGATTTTGCAGGTTTAGCGCAGACATTTTGGCCTTTTCGGCCGGATTTTGAGGGTTAGAGCACAGATTCTGTGGGGTTTCAGCCCAGATTTTTCAGGGTTTACGCCCAGATTGCGCAGCGTTTTAGCCCAGACTTTACAGGTTTTCTCCCGGATCCTGAGGGTTCCAGCCCAGATCTTGCGGGATCTCAGGGATTTTGCGGGGTTTAGGCCAGGATTTGAGGCTCTAAGCCCAGGCTTTGCGTGTTTAAGCCCTGATTTTGCGGGGTTTTAGCCCAGACTCGCCCTGGATTCCCTGGCTTGGGGGGAGCCGGGGACGGCGAGGAAGGGGCGGCTTCCCCCCGGCCCCAGCTCGTGCTACCCCCAAACCCTAAAACCTTTAAAACCCCCTAAAAAAACCCCACCAAAACCCCTAAAACTCCGACCCACCAAGTTCACTCCTCACCCCAAACCCCGCTCGCGTTCGCTTTGCCCGCTCCACTCCCCGAGCAGAGCCGGCCGCGCCGCTTTTATTTTTATTCCCCTATTTAATCCCGCTTTACGATCAGCGATATTTCACCGGCGGGCCAAACCTTTTAATTAAAACCGATCCTAACAAGCCCAACCCGAATAAAAACCCCTCCGCGAACCGCGCGGAATTATTGTTTTTATGGCGCCATAAAAACCCCGTCCCACCGCGGTGCCGAGGAGGAGGAAGGGGGGCGGAAAAAGCCATAAACCCCTCGGAGTTTATTTAATTTATCCCCCCCCAAACGAGCCGTAAAAAACTTACCACTGTGCGAGTTCATGCGCTGCATCCAGGGGTAGATCTGGATGCCGGATTTCTGCTCCTGAGCCGCGCTCCGGCTCTGCTCGCCGGGGAAATCCTGCGCGATGGAGCCGGGGGTGCCGTGCCCCCCGACCGAGCTCTGGCGGCAGATGGGGGTTTAGGCCGGGTTTAGGCCCTGTTAGGATCAGATTTTGAGGGGTTTGGCTTTGATTCTGAGGAGCTCAGCGCGGATTTTTGGGGGGTTCGGCCCGGGTTTTGCAGGGGTTCGGCCCGGGTTTGGAGGGGTTTTGCCCGGATTCCGCAGGGTTTTAGGCCGGATTTTGAGGGGTTTGGGCAAGGTTTTGTGGGTGTTCAGGCCAGATTTTGCAGGTTTAGCGCAGACATTTTGGCCTTTTAGGCCGGATTTTGAGGGGTTTGGGCAAGGTTTTGTGGGTGTTCAGGCCAGATTTTGCAGGTTTAGCGCAGACATTTTGGCCTTTTAGGCCGGATTTTGATGGTTTGAGCACAGATTTTGTGGGGTTTCAGCCCAGATTTTTCAGGGTTTACGCCCAGATTGCGCAGCGTTTTAGCCCAGACTTTACAGGTTTTCTCCCGGATCCTGAGGGTTCCAGCCCAGATCTTGCGGGATCTCAGGGATTTTGCGGGGTTTAGGCCAGGATTTGAGGCTCTAAGCCCAGGCTTTGCGTGTTTAAGCCCTGATTTTGCGGGGTTTTAGCCCAGACTCGCCCTGGATTCCCTGGCTTGGGGGGAGCCGGGGACGGCGAGGAAGGGGCGGCTTCCCCCCGGCCCCAGCTCGTGCTACCCCCAAACCCTAAAACCTTTAAAACCCCCTAAAAAAACCCCACCAAAACCCCTAAAACTCCGACCCACCAAGTTCACTCCTCACCCCAAACCCCGCTCGCGTTCGCTTTCCCCGCTCCACTCCCCGAGCAGAGCCGGCCGCGCCGCTTTTATTTTTATTCCCCTATTTAATCCCGCTTTACGATCAGCGATATTTCACCGGCGGGCCAAACCTTTTAATTAAAACCGATCCTAACAAGCCCAACCCGAATAAAAACCCCTCCGCGAACCGCGCGGAATTATTGTTTTTATGGCGCCATAAAAACCCCGTCCCACCGCGGTGCCGAGGAGGAGGAAGGGGGGCGGAAAAAGCCATAAACCCCTCGGAGTTTATTTAATTTATCCCCCCCCAAACGAGCCGTAAAAAACTTACCACTGTGCGAGTTCATGCGCTGCATCCAGGGGTAGATCTGGATGCCGGATTTCTGCTCCTGAGCCGCGCTCCGGCTCTGCTCGCCGGGGAAATCCTGCGCGATGGAGCCGGGGGTGCCGTGCCCCCCGACCGAGCTCTGGCGGCAGCTGCTCAGCGCCTCCTTGTCCTGGTAGAAAGCGTTCGAGCCGTACTCGTAGGGCGAGCGGCCGGCCGAGCCGAAAACCACCGCGTTCTCCTGGGCCGAGTAGAAGGGCGACGAGTAAATGCGGTTCTGCGCCACGGCCGCGCCGTAGCCGCCGAAATGGCGCACGGGGTCGTAGCTGGAGTTGAGCGCGGCCACGTTGGGCAGCACCTCCTGGCCGCCGCCGAGGTGGCACGGCAGCGACGGGTTCGTGAAGTACGAATTCATCCCGCTCCGCGCCGCTCCGCGGGCTCGGCGCGCTCCCGCCGCGGGGCTGCCCCTGCGCTGCCTCGGGATGGGCTCCTCGGGCTTTTCTTCTTTTCTTTAGTATTTTTTTCCTATTTTTTTCTGTATTTTTCCTATTTTTTTCCTATTTTTTCCCTATTTTTTCTCTGTTTTTCTCTATTTTTCCCTATTTTTCTCTATTTTTTCTCTATTTTTTTCTCTATTTTTCCTCTATTTTTCCTCTATTTTTCCTCTATTTTCTCTATTTTCTCCTATTTTTTTCTCCTATTTTTCCTCTATTTTTCCTCTATTTTTCTCTATTTTTCTCTATTTTTTCTCTAGTTTTCCTATTTTTCTCTATTTTTTCCCTATTTTTTCTCTATTTTTCTCTCTTTTCCTCCTATTTTTTCCTATTTTTCCTCTATTTCTCCTCTATTCTCCTCTATTCTCCTCTATTTCTCCTCTATTCTCCTCTATTTCTCCTTTCTTTTCCCTCTATATCTCCTCTATTCTCCTCTATTTTCCTCTATTTCTCCTTATTTCTCCTAATTTTTCTCTATTTTTCCTTTTCTTCCTCTATTCCCCCTTTCTCCTCTATTTTCCCTTTTTTCTCCGTTTGCTCCTCTATTTTTTCTCCTCGATTCCTCCACTTTCTTCTCTTGCTCCTCTATTTTCCTCCTTGATTCCTCTATTTTCCTTCTCTCACTCCCCTATTTTCCCTTTTTCCTCCCTCTCTTTTCCCTCTCTAATTCCTTTATTCCGCCTCTTTCCTTCCTCTATTTCTTCCTCTATTTCCCCTCTATTATTTCCTCTATCATTTATTATTTCCTCTATTTCCCCTCTATTATTTCCTCTCTTTTTTTCCTCTCTATTTCCCCTTGACCTCTTTCCCTTCTATTTTCCCCTATATTTTCTCTCTATTTTTCCCTCTATTTTCCTCTATTTTTCCCTCTATTTTCCTCTATTTTTTCTTCTATTTTCTCTCTATTTTTTCCTCTATTTTCCTCTATTTCCCTTCTATTTTTCTCTCTATTTTTTCCTCTCTTTTCCTCTATTTTCTCCTCTCTTTTCCTCTATTTTTCCTCTCTTTTCCTCTATTTTCTCCTCTATTTCTCTCTCTATTCCCCTCTCTTTCCCCCTATTCCCCCTTTATTCCTCCCTCTCTCCTCCCCCCTCACCACAATTAATTAATTCATACATCTACATATATTTATTATTATTTTTTTTCAATCCTCCCCTCCACTCTCTCCCTCTCTCCTTATTTTTTTTCCCGGCGCCACCTGGGCCCGTGCGATTTCTTTTAATATTTATTTGAGTCTCCAGTTTGTAGTGGAAGTGTAGGATTGTTATAGGGAAGGCTCTGCTCCAGGACAGACAGAATGACACAGTCAGCTGACCCGGCGCGGGCCAATGGCGAGCCGCGTGTCAAAAAGGGGAAAAAATTGCTTTTTTCTGCTCGCCAGTCCCTACTCCAAACTAAGTGGGCATGGAAAGTAAGTCCGGCACCCCCCAAAAAAATAAAAAAAAGCCCCCCCAGGGGATTTGGGGCGGCGGGGAGGGGGCTCGCGGGCACCAAAAATTCCTAAAATTCAATTTTTTCAACCCACCTTCCTCCCTTTTTTTTTTTTTTCCCCCCACCTTCCTCTTCTTTATTTTGCCCAGATTCGCCAAAAAAAAAAAAAAAATAAATTATCTTTACCACTATATTTTTTTTGCTAAACGCTCAATGCTGGTTTTTTTTTTTTTTATTATTATTCCGGTTTATTATAATTTTTGTTCAACGATTATCATAATTATTATTCTTTCCAAGAAAGCTGCGCTTAAAAATCTCGTAAAGAAGCGGCTGCGAATTCCCAGCAATAAATCTCAGGCGAACACAGAATATTAAGCCATAAATTACCCTCACTCTCCCTCTTTTTTTTTTTTTTTTTTTTTTAATATTTTTCTTTTCTTTTTCTTTAATTTATTTATTTTTAATTTTTCTTAAATTATTTTTTCCTCCTCCTCTCCCCTCTTTCTCCCGCTCTGAGTATCCGCGTTTAAAAGGGCGAAAAGGGAAAAAAAATAATTTCGTTTTTAAAAGGAGGAAAAAATAAAAAAAAAAAGGGGGGAAAAGGGGGGGGATAAACATGGCGACTTCTCCATGGATAACGCGGGATCCCAAACTCCTGGAAAAGGGCAAAAATTTGGGCAAAAAAAGCATTTCTTAGGGGAAAACAAACAAACAATCCCACGCCGGGCTGGGGGCTGGGATTTCCCGTCCAATTTTGGGAGATTTCTCCGGATTTTGGGGCATTTCTGGACGCGCCCAGGAAGGAAAACTGCTGGGAAAAAGCGGAAAAAAAAGCGAATTTGGGCCGGGCCGGCGGCGCGGAGTTTCCCGAAGTTTTTTTTGGGAATTCTCCCCGGCGGGGAGGGGACCCCGAGCCCATCCCCACCCAAATCCCCCCGAAACCGCCCCAAAATCAGCCCCTACCTGAGCCCTGCGGCACCGCGGGGCGGATTCGCTGCAAATCCCCCCCAAAAAATTCCGATTTTTGCCGGGGGAGCCCTCGGCCTCCTCCTCCTCCTCCTCCTCCTCTTGTTTGTTGTTAAACCACCTCGGTTTTATGGAAAAAAACCAAAAAAATCCCAAAATTCGCCTGGAAAGCGTCGGAAATCCACCCCGCTCTGGCTTTTTAATTTGGATTTTTTTGGATTTTTTTGTTTTTTCAGGATTTTTGGCCGACAAAGCCAAGCCCCGGGGGGGTTTTTGGGGAATATTTGGCCCCCCCGGCTATGAGAGGAGCCCGGATGCCAGCGGATTTTATGCTCTTTTTCCTCTGGCTAACAAAGCAAAGTCATCAATGGTAGCAATAAAACCATAAACGGGAAAAAAAACACAAAAAACCAAAAAAAAACCCCGAAAAAACACCCAAAAAACAACCAAACCCCGCCCGGAGCCGCCAGAAAAGGGAAAAAAATCCCGATTTTTGTCCCAAAAAGTGGCGGCTGGGGGGGAGCTCCCACCCCGGGGCCTTGGCGAGGAATTCCGGGCGTTTTCCCCCCAAAATTCCCAAATTTCCGCTGCTTTTTTCTGCCCCTGGCTTTCCCAGATCCCCCCGGAGCGTGCGGGAAAAATGGGAATTTCGGGAGGATTTCGCTGCTTTGTTTCGCTTTTCCAACCCCGGGGGGGATTGGGGGAGTCGGGGACCCCAAAATTGGGGATTTTGGGGGATTTTGGGGGGTTTTGGGACCTGGCAAAGGCCGGGCTGGGGGCGCGGGGCGGCAGGGCCGCAACTTTGGAGGAGTTTCCACCAAAAAACTTCTCCCTCCGGAGCCTCCTTTTCCCTTTTCTCCCCAAATTTTCATTTTCCCTCATTTTTCCTCCTCCTCTCTTCCTTCCCCTTCATTTTTTTCGCTTTATTTTGCTTTTTTTCCCCCTTTTTTTCCTCGTTTTTCCCCCTTTTTTTTGCTTTTTTCGCTCTCCCCCCTTTTTTTCCTCGTTTTCCCCCCTTTTTTTTTTGCTTTTTTCGCTCTTTTCGCTCCTTTTAATTTCAATTTTTATTTTAATTTTATACTTTTAATTTCTATTTTTATTTTTCCTCCTTTTTTTTCCCTTTCCAAGGTGGGCTGGAGACCTGAGACGAGCGTGGGACCCGAGCCGGGGGAAGTTTAAGTGTTTTATGACTTTTCTAAACAGAGGGCAAGTCCTAAAAGTCCGCTCGATTTATAGACAGCAGAAAGCAGCTGCCGGAAAAAAAAAAAAAACCCAAAACACATCCACCCGCCAAACACCGATTTTTTAGGGCAAAAAACCGCCAAAAACCCACCAGGAATTAAAAAATAAATACAGAAAAAAAAAAAAAAAAATAAGGGAAACCCCGCAAGTGTTTTATGACTTTTCTAAACAGAGGGCAAGTCCTAAAAGTCCGCTCGATTTATAGACAGCAGAAAGCAGCTGCCGGAAAAAAAAAAAAAAAACCCAAAACACATCCACCCGCCAAACACCGATTTTTTAGGGCAAAAAACCGCCAAAAACCCACCAGGAATTAAAAAATAAATACAGAAAAAAAAACCCCATCAGCGAAACCCCGCAAAAATCTGAATTTTAATTGAATTTTTGACGTTTCCCAGCAGATTTTTGGCGGATTTTTGGGTTTTTTACCCCCATTAAAAAAAGATATTTTGGGGTTTTTTTTCTTTTTTTTTTTTTTTTTTGGCCAAAAAAAGCACGCGGCGAAGGGAGGGGGGGATTTGTGGGGAGTTTTCTGGCGGAATTGGGTCTGCAAACAATTAAGGGAACTCATCAGCAGAAGCAAGAACAGATGTTTTATTAAAAGTGCGACAAACGCTGGAAATATGGACAACTCCTGCAGCAGTTGCTCTTTGTTCTGAGGAAAAAAACCCCCAAAACAGCCAAAACGCCCCAATTTTCCCCATTCCCACTCTCATATTCCCATTTCTTCAAAAATTATTATTTTTTCACGCGCCCCAGCGACGCTCGCGGGGTGAAAAAAGAGGGGAAAATAAAGATAAAAAGGGAAAAAAATCCCTAAAAAATTAAAATTTCTGCCCCCCGCGGCTCGCAGCGCTGCTGAGCTGATTGAGGGCGGGGGAAATTTGGATTCCAAACCCCAAATCCGCCCCAAATTTGGGGGCCGGGGCGGTGAAAATCCCAAATCCGCAGGAATTGGGAGCAAAGCCCGGCCCTGTCCCCGCGGCCGCGCCGAGCGGCCCCAAAGCCGCCGATTTTGGGGCTTTTTGGGGCTTTTTTGGGTTTTTTCCAGCATTTGGGGGCAACCCCGGGGGGAGGGGCTCAGGACGCTCCCCCCACCCCCAAAAAAAATTCCGATTATCGATTATTTGGGGTGAAAAGTGGGGATTTTGGGGGGAAAATGAAGGGATTTTTGGGTGAAAATTGGGAATTTTGGGGTGAAAATGAAGGGATTTTGGGGTGAAAATTGAGGATTTTGGGGTGAAACTTGGGGGTTTTGGGGGCAGCGCCCCCCCCCCGCGCGGAGGCTCCGCGGGGCCACCAAAAGCTTTTATTTATTCCGAATTTTCTCTTTTTCCCCTTGTTTTCTCCCCAGTTTTTTTCCCTTTTTTCCCTTTTTCCCCCCCACTTTTGTTTTTCATTTTTTCCCCCATTTTTTCTCGCTTTTATTTTGACGTTTATGGCGCACGTGAGCCCCTAATTTATTTATTTTCCTTTTATTTCC